CAGGACCTTGCGGTTTGGCGATTGAGCCGTGGTTTTGGATTTTACTGGCTTCTTCCTCTACCCCCCGTCCTCCTTGTCGGGGGTCTAGAGCAGGGTGTTTCCTGGGTTTTCAGTGGCCGCTACGGTGTTTTCCCCGACCGCTTGGCTGGCCAGGGCCTTAGCAAAAGCCCCCTCAAGGACCTTGAGAACGTCAGGGTTCTGCATCGCCGTAGCAAAGGTCAGAGCTGGCGAGACAGGGGCTTGAGTCCCTTGTTGAGCATGGAATTAGGTCCCCTCGCCATTGCACCTGCGAGATTGGGCCCTGGACTGCTAGGTTGACTAATTGTGACCGGATGAAGTCATTTTTTGAGTGAGTTTTGAAGTGAAAAAAGTTAGAAAATAAATGAATTTAATGTGGAGTTCCACAAGATCGAAATGTTGACACCAAGTAACTTATGGTGCTCTTCCTCTAGCGCCAAACTGTTGATCGACGGATTCGATCAACGGTTAAAATATGATACAAGAAGAGTAGGAAATAGAAAACGAGGAGAGAAATACGATTAATTATTGATTTAAAATATAATTACAAGGTCGGCCTCTCGTGCGAGGTCGACACTTTTGTTACAGTTGAAATTATTACAAGGACTCTGCTGTAGATTCTTAGAGAGAGGAAATACAAAGTGCAAGTTAGTTTAGGATTAAACAACCCAAAATAAATGACAAGGGTTCCTATTTATAGTATCTTTAAATGTGTCACTGTTCAGGTACTGTTCACCGGTTTTGTAGTACAGTGTTCGTGCAGAGCAGTCCCGCACCTCCCTGACATTTATTAAATTGGATTTCAGGTTTTATCAATCATTACCTGTCAGACATTTAATCCACACATTGGGGCATTTAATGCCTGGTATGCTTTTGTCGGGCTAGATTCCTGTAGGGTGACAGGCTATGACGGCCCGTCCAATCGCCAATGATGATCTTTCAAGTGGCATTATTATATTATTATCGAGCCCAACGCCTATCCCTAAGCTAGCCGCACTGAATTTTCAGGTCGGCTCGACCTCAGAGATTGTTCTTGTTGGTGACGCTGGTAATTTTATTTTCAGAATCCAGCTCGTCACTTCTGTGCCGGACCGGGTTCCTAGCATGGTTTCTGAGGTAGCTTCCGTCCGGTCTTCTCTTGGCTAACTCGGATTTCAACAAGGTGTCTTTGGATGTCTTGAACCCCTTGAAGATGTGTTAGAACATCTATAAATGCCCATGAAGTGAAATGGTTATATATCAAATTTTCAAGAGCTCTTTGCATCCTTTTTCAATGTTCATAAAGCATATTGCGTTCTTTGAGTTTTTGTTGAGTCTTGAGAGTTCCAAACAATAGTATTGTTTGCCGAAGGCTTGTATATTTGAAGTACCATTATATAGAAGCCAAAAGTCATTGTATTTTGGAGGCGTTTGCTGTTAACCGTGGATATTATACGGGGTAATTTTGTCTTAAAGAGAACGTAACTATTATATGCCTCGACTTTACATATTGTTTCATTTTCTTCATTCTCCATAAACCGTCCTTTTGTGATTCACAAACTACAATCTTAAGACGAAATTGTTGTGAGCATATAAGATGGCAACTGAGGGAAACAAAACATCTTCTTCAGGTTCTCAAAAGACCACTACACTGGCTACTAATCCATTAATAGTAGTCGCTCCCGTCCAAGGCGAGAGACCGCCGAAGTTCAATGGCTGTGTTTTCAAAAGTTGGCATCAAATGATGTTTTACTACCTCACAACTCTCTTCCTCTCTTGTTTGCTTTCGGAGGATCCATTGATCTTCCCCAAAAGTTAGACTAACGTAAAAAACGTTTAGTCTTAGATGCTTGGCATCATAGTGATTTCTTGTGAAGAAATCTAATATATAACGGACTAGACAACATACTATATAATGTGTATAGACCGATTAAGATGTCTAAGGAGCTGTGGAACTCTTTGAAAGCAACGTACAAAATGATAATGGCACTAAAACGTTTATCGGTAAATTCTTGTAGTACGATATGATTGACAGAAAATTGAAGGTTAGTCAAGTTTAAGAGATTCAAATTCTTTATGATATGATGACCAGGGGATTGATTCTGAACGTATCCTTTCAAGTGGCAACTATTGTTGAAAAGTTGTCTCCTTAGTGGAACGACTTCAAGAGTCATTTCACGCATAGATA